GTTGAATGGATTACTACAGGTTTGACACAGAAAGAAGGTCAGTTCCTTATGGGGCCAGAGCGGGCTGCAGAATAACTCCGAAACAGGACGTTGCTCAAAGTGTACTGGACATCGGCCGACCACGTATATTACCGGCTACGTTAGCTGTTCTTTTTGGTCTCAAATTGAAAAACGCCGCCTTTATAGTTCGGTGGACTTCACACATGGTGACGTTTTCCGTCAAACAGGACAAGGGAGCGCTAAATGAAATATGCAAATGCATTCTATTCTAAGAACAATTGTCTTCGACCTGCCATCGCAAATTAAAACTGGCATGGTTTGCGAGCTGTGAAAGGCTTCTACTAGCTTTAAACTTAATATGTAACTTTGAATAAAGCACTTAAAAGAAATTCTTAATGGGCTAAGTATCCTAACTAGCTGTTGAGCTTCGTTCTTCCTCACTAAAACAAGCCTGATAAACGTGTCTATTTTGGATAGCCGATCGTAGCAAAGAAAATTGGAGTCCACAAAGTAAGTCTAAGTAACAAGTTACAAGAATATCTATTTTGCTTAATTTTTGGCTCTATGTTTGGAATTTCACGTACGGTATTACCGTTAAGCATTCCATCGAACCCGTTTATGGCTCAAAGGATACGGCCATTACTATTGCTAAGATGCATGCTAAGAGTCGACCGTGAACGTGTTTAATACAGCAGGCTTTGAGTACACAGGAAAGGTTCACAAAGCCTAGAAGATCTCAGCACACAGTCAATGCACAGCCAAGGGAACTAAACGCGTTTTCTGGGAACTAAACCGAGAAGCCTATGCGTAGGGTACACTTGACTATACAACTTCATTAAAGCTTTCCAATGATATTTCCTTAGACATACTTTGACTGCTATTGTAAAACATCATTGACATGTACAAATTGATTTGTAAATAGATATTTTTGGGTGGAAGGCACACGTAGCCGGACTGACCTGTGTCAGTCGGCCCGTTCAAGATAAATTACTCTATTCTTTCAAGTGCACTAGCGTCAAATCCAAAGACAGAACCAACCAAAGTTGGGTTAGGGAAGGCAGGGTGTTGATGGGGTCGACTGTTGATGAAGACATGAGAAATGTTGAAGAAATATTCGCCGGCAAGAAGTTGCCTCGCAAAGAAATGTGTTAAAGCCGAGAGCAGGCACCACAACGATGATTAATGAAACTAAATACAAACTTAAGTACGCTGATTGCTGAGACCGTCGCGACAGCCGAGGACAAATGACCTTTTGCGTTGCGTTGCGACATTTGTAAATGTATGCGTTGTTATGAAGAAGAACACTATTTAACGATGCTTCTATACACATACACTTGCTATACATACGCTTATATATGATCGATTCATATCAATTCATGTGTCAGCATTGGCTACACTAATTTAAAGAACAAAACATACTACTTAAAACCGAACAGCCTAAACGGAAACGTCTTTTTTTTCATGTTCTTCTTTAACCTTTCGATAATGTTGCCGACACACAAATGCATGAAGAGAGAACTACCCACTGTCGAGATAAATAGTTACGGATGACAAACAGAAGATCTGGGGAAAGGAAGCCCTCGGGGATGGACGTTAACTTTCCCTTAGCCTGGTTTTTTTATTTTACCGGATAATAGGAGAAACTTTTTGTTAAATTGGGGAAGAAAAGAGTTGCTTTCCTTTAAGAACTCAACGGTGTTTATTTCTCAAGATCCATTCAGTCCGCCACCCGGCACGATGGGGCACGCAGGAGTTCGAGGAGATTTTTATGGCGAGCCTCTCTCCTAGCTCTGCTCCTGCTCTTGTTAAATGTGCTAATACACCAAATTAAATAAGCGTATAGATAGAAGTACCAGGCGGTAGGTTCGTATTCGAGAAGGAAAAACAAGCAGCAGAAAAAAAAAGGCGAAGAACTCGAGTCGTTGTTCGATTACGCAGATGGTGCAATACTGAACCCCCAAAGATAGGGCATAAAACTCAGCGAACATCAACTAACTTGCATCTGTTCGCAAAGTAAATTCTAGTCTCGTACATACTGGTAGTTTTTTGTATGATATTTAGGGTAGTCTACTGGATGACTGGCTGGACGTAAAATGCTGTAAATTTCTTTCCACGTCGTTCGCTTGAGGTTTTCCCACAACTACAAGTCTCACTCACAACAGTACGCTTTTTCAAATCTCTTAACCGCCTACCTTGACTCGATTCCCTGAATCCTCAACGTGTCTCGCAGCGTAACCATGCTGCCACTTCTTTAAGCTGATTATGTTTTTTTCATATACTAAAGCTATTGGTCACTGTAGCTAATGTCATAAATGCGGCTTCTGTTATAATGGCTACTCAAGCTGGGGAGGTATTTTGTAGTTAAAGCAGAAAAAACAAGGGTTTATACCAGAAATATATATATATATATATGTAGAATTAGGCACAAGCGGGCATAGATCCCTCCTCTGACAATTTAGGAGAAAATGTTGCGTTCATTTCTCGGACGTCACTCGCCCTGGCTACCTTGCTGTTCTCAGACTGCTCCACTTGGAAAATGGCTAAGATTTTGTTACTGCCCAATAAAATTTCCAAGGAGTGCCTATTCATGTGCTGTATTGACCTTTTCTGAGAAATGCACAAGGATTAAGCTGAAAAAAGGAGCTTTAAGCAGGTTTTTCGTCAACAGCAAGCGTTTCCAGTTTTATGTTCGATACTGCTTTAGTTACGCGTTGCTTTAGAGGGCTGACCTTTCCCAGCACACAACAAGGTATACTTACTTCCGATTTCGGACTTTCTTTTTCAGTCAGGGGTTGACACTTCAAATAGCTCACTCAGACCAGATCAAACTGGCACCATGGGCTCTAACACCGAGTGAAATATCTTATTTTAGGCTTCACTCTCTGTGAGTGCGTATCTTCAGCTAATAGTACTTCAAGCCGACAGCAGACGTGGTAGATCGAGTGGCTACGGCCATCCCCCGGATTCCCCAGACGCACTGTATCCCAACACCTATAACTTCGTTGGCCTCTTGCAGCAATGTGGCCGTTCTTTCGTTTTCGAAACCTAACAGTCCATCCGTTTGTCATGTCGCAAATAGCAGAAGGCTTTGGCATCATTTGTCGCTGCTGTTTTCAGAACTAGGCTACATCAAATGCCCCTAAGTTAATGGGACAAATGGGTTGCTGTTGCAGCATCACGGAGACTCCCGATGTAGTCAATAATGATTTCAGAAGCTATGTTATACGAATCTCAACATGATGCTAGACTAAAGTCATGGTGTGAAGATCGGATGAAGCTTCAAAATATCGATGCGGGCTGCGAACATGGAATCCGTACAAAGGAACTTATCTGCGTATAACGCTTGGGCTGTATAACTACGCTTGCTTAAAAGGGCCATGAAATTTATACGAATAGAGTTAATGTTTCGAAAATGTCCCAGTTTCATTTCAGCTTGGAAGAGTAGTAATCGACGCAGTTGAATTCCGTCAAACTAGAATGCATCTGAGTTTCTAAAGTGAATACAAGTAAGCATTGTATCGTGAATACGGGTGCCACAACTTAGGTTATAGTATCATCAGTAGGAAGTTCGATGCACTCTTATCTTGTGGTTGCTAACTCATTCTTATTTTAGAGAGCAAATCCTCAGCTACTGTTAGAGCTACGCGTACTCTTTTTTTTTTTACATGTTATTAGCTACCACTGCGTTGAAACACGTTGAACATACAAACTTTCATAACCATGTGGACCCTTTCAATGGACAGAGCTGATTCTACTACTAACTGGAAACTTTTCATTTACTACAACGTAGGCGGCAAATAGGTACGTTTACCACACGCACAAAAAGCCTTATATAGCTAGTAAATGGATATTCAGTTTTCTATGGTTTCAAAGATTGTATGATATGAACGTTTAAAAGAAAGGAAAACTTTCGTATTGAGAATCTATGCTGAGCATCGACGTTCTGTTAATAAAAACAATAAAAGATAGAAGCAGCTGACTTAGCAAGTCTATCCAATTACTCGGTTTCCTCCGTGTTTGAAAATAACTGTCCTAGGTAACCCCACGCCTACAAAAACTATTGAAATTTGTCGAATTTCTTAAGATTTCAGACAAATTTCACCACATAAAATATCCGTAAAGGAATGCAAAAACTATCGATCGGCACGATCGTCATCAGCGATACGACAAAGACCACCTGATTTCAGGCCCAAGTACGATACTGCGCTTATGATCTTTGTTGGTTTAGGTAATATCAGTATTATCTGAAAAAGGCACTAGGAATATTTCATAGTCGTATAGCCTAAGGACGGTGAAAGTCATTTGATATAGCAATTACAAAAATATTTGCCATATATGTGCATAAGGAAAATCACTCAGGCGATATAATAACTGTGTAAATGGGTGCATGCTCGCGCCTTTGGTGGTCAAACTATCTCTTAGTGGACGTGGAGGGCACCGAAGCGAGTCCGAAAATTATTGCGCTTCATTGGACTGTTGTCACAGCTAAACAAGTTCTGCTTCCACCATCGTCTGCTCACTTATTCTGCGAAGATCTGATTGTCTTTGTGCTCGGGCCGTAGCCGAAGGGCCTTCTGTCCCATAGATTCAACTATATAAGAATACAGCAGCTACTGCCGAAAGGCGAATCGCTGATAGGTGAAACAGCACACGAGCTTGCGGCCTAGACTAGCCTTGTGCCTCTAACTCTCCATGGAGAGAAAGGGGCCTTTTCTTGCGAGATGGTGGATAAACGACCTTGGCGCTACTCACTGTCATTACCCTTCAGGGCCCTTTGTCCTCTCAAAGCCTCTAAGGAACTAAGGAAGGACGGAGGCGCAAAATTGCCATTTCCAAGTCCGATATTAGTGGTAGATATAAGTGGCGACAGCAGTTTGTAAACGGCATGGACACGGGACATGTGTAGAGGTGCAGGAGGGTATAAGACGGGTGTGATGCAAATATGCATACAAGCCGTCGCTTGGTTTCGGCCTATTTCAAGGCTCCGGAACTCGCATAAGGTTGTCAATGTTGGCTATGACAGTGACGGGGTGGGGAAATCATCTATATTCAGTTTAGTAAATGATTGCCTGTCTAAGAGAGTATACGCATTGCGGATGCGATTCCAGACCTGGACAGAGTGCTGATAGGACTGAGTAGAGTAGTTTAAAGGCTGAGTGAGGTATGTATCCGGGAGGTACTAGCGGTCTTGTGGATTTCAGTACAAAAATAGGGTGCGCAACAGAGAAGAACATTACGCAGCCGTTGAACCTATTACGACAACAGGGCGTCTACGTTTAAATAGTTGAAAAACGTTGAATCTTGGATTAAGTTGCCATATATAGAAATCCATGATTCGATGAGGATGCTGAAATGAATGCTCTTAGCAGAAAAGCAGGTCTATAAAATTGAGATAATATCGACTCCGGTAGAATCATAGCTCATGCGCTGTACTGTACCATTAATATCTTTTTCTTTAGATATCTAAATTATGCAAAATATCTATTAAAAAGTCCTCACATATTTTAGAGTCGATCAACACTAAAGTTGCTAGCCTTGAAAAGCAAGTGACGTCTGTATACACGCGTCGGGCTATAGGTGTCCGTCTCAAATCTTAACCTAGATTTCTGTTGGAACGGATGAACTAGCGTAACTGTAGACCTCGAAAAATGTGTTGCCGCGTCGACATATGCCAACATGATGTGTCAGCCGACACAGAAGTTAAGGGAAGATACTAGAAGTTCAAATTATTGTCTAACCAAATAAATGGCTCTAACAAGGTAAATATAAGCTGTATGATTCGAAAACACAGATGTTTAGTAGGCGCCAAAAGCTAAACTTGAAAATGCTCTGACTGCTTTTAGGTAATGACGAATCCGTACTGTGTCTTTGTTGTCATTGTTACTATCGAGTCATTGTAAGAGCACCTTAGAAGTTTTGTTCCAAAGATCATTAACAATTGTCTATGTGACTAGTTAGATTAAAGCAGTTGGCAAAACTACGTTACAATCGTACTTTTCAAGAACCTTTCCATGCGTTTCGGTACCTGCTCGAAATGCTCCATTATCATACACCTGTCTATTCAAGTGCGCCACCTTAGCAGAGGAACTCGAGCCAAGTAATTTGTTTCTTAGAGATAAGTAAAAAGGACGCAAAGTAAGTGCACTCTGTGCTAAAAGGAGAACTCTTTGATGACTGAATTACATGTGAAAATCTTTAACCCCCAGATCAATCCCAATGAAACTTTAAGGTAACTTTATTTTTGTAGGGAGACGTTTACGGTGAGTTTTCAGGTTTGCTCCTAGTCGACTTATCGACCAGTTGAGTGCCAATTCGTTATTCCAAGGCTTCTATCTACTTCGAGAAAAAGCAAGCCTGCTTTCCACATGATTTAGTCTTTTCGACTCTTTATAGCGCAACAACTTTTTAATGATATTTTCAATCAGTTAATATTACGCTTATACATGAATATACTTATAAACAGGCTAATTCGTTCCTTCGACGCCTAACTACTTTCAGTTTGTAGTGTTCAATTCAAGACCTAACATGTCAGTGCTTTACACGACCTCGTCTGGAATCGTAGAACTTTTCCTGTGGCAAACGTCTTCGCAATATAGCTGAAAAATAAAGTAAAAATCGGTCGCAGGGAAATGTCGTCTAAGGTAAACAAGCACACAACATCGACCTTGTAACTGTTCCCACAATCGCGCAGTCCATAGGTACATCAGCCCGCTTAAACGAAGTTAATTGGATCAATTTATTCGAAAGTTTCCTACACTCTGAATCAATGAATTCAGATTCATCTTTTTTTCGCTGGCTTAGCCCTCTAGATACCCATATGACTGATATGCACTGTTAGCTTTGCAATGGTATTTGCCCCTAATATATGCCATCTGGAATACATAGCCTTCCCTTTGCAGAAAAACATCTTGCTGCCTGAACGAAAGATCATAGTTAGCTAATATCGTTTTCTGCTCATCACAGAACATCGGGTGAGAACGGCAGGTTTTACGACTCTCGTCAATATGCCCTCCCACAAAAATTATCGGACATTGCACTTATTCCACCGCAGGCATTCAATACTATATGTCCTTGCAAAGTAGGCAACACTCTAGGTCTATCAAGTGCTGCAAAGAGTTGTAGAAATGGCATATGCTCCGGAAATACAGAGACGCCATGGCTTGAAACCGAAATTTATGTTTCCATTCACACATTAGCAAATATGGTTGCGCAATTGCCTTTGATCGTATTCATCATCCAGGCATCGATACGCGACTGCATTCTATATAAAGAGGGACACTATATACAATTGGCAAACGCAGATTAGAAGGAAATTTCGAGCAGTGTCGCGTTTGCAGCGAATGCCCAGCATTCGTAGACTAGATAGGGGCAACTGTAACACCAAATCCATTTTCTATCCGTTCAGGAGTGGGCCGAGAAGATTCTAGAGTATTACTGACGTCGTTTAGCCACCGAACGACTGGACTACTATTTTCGGAAAAAGTGTATTTTTTTTCCTTAGAAGAATTGGTCACAGACAGGGCGAAGTGACAAACAAATTTATTTTAAACTTTTACGAGCGATGACGACAGCTGAGGTAATCCATTCTTGGGCATCAATCGGCTCTAGCTCATCGAGAAATATGTATGCACAGCCTGAGGTATCCTGCAAATGTCACATTTTGACTACCACCACTAGGAGGTGCATTTTGTTTGAAGTAGAATCCTTTCGGAGATGTATGAATTGCTTGATTTAGAAATACTACATAACAATTGTGCCCTCGACTGCAGTGCGCGATAAGGAAAGAAGCCAATTATAACCTAGAAACATAGTTACGAGACCTTTATGGAAATTAACGCATGAACTTAGTAAATCGACTTCATCAAACCTGTGTTCATAAAAATCATACTTAAATGCACTCTTTTTTTAGCGGGGTGAGGGCTTGGATTTTCTGTTCGGATCCAGCCTCCTTTAAATTCTCAAGCCCCTTTGGTTTTTCGAACCAGAAACCTCCTTCTAGCCTAGGCGTCTCTCACTGTTTACAATTACTAACAAGTAGCATGAATCGTAGCCGAGTAATAGAATTTCAGAAATACATTCTACCCGTAGGTTAACCCAATATCGAAATACTAATTTACTGTAGTCTACATAATGAACTATGGTATGTACTTATGATGTTGGTCGTTAAGAAGTTTGCTTCTAGGCTCGATACATACTCCATAGGAACGTTAATAGCAGACAGTATTGACCAACCTAGTTATTCTATTGTTTTCGTTGCAGGTTTTTTTATTCGCTATTTACTATGGTTCTACAGTACATGCTACCCATCGGCATTGTATCTGCGGCTTACGCTTCGATCTGTCGAAAATTACGGGACCGGATGATGGCCAGAGGGGGCTGTCAAGCTCAACTCGAAGAAAAGTTGCTTCGCGAACGGCAACGAGTTCAACGAACGAACAAACTACTAGTCGCCATTACCGTCGTCTTCATTCTAAGTTGGCTACCACTCAATATTCTCAACACTTGGTTCGACTATTTTGAGACACAGGATAGCAAACTCGACGTGCAATTTCGGTAAGTTCCAACTTTGACCAAACACACGATACAGGCGAGCAACGCAAGAGTTGTACCCAGATAACGGGCTCTGCCGGAACTTAGCTTTGCTCAGAGCGGTCGTTTGTCTGGCAAAAAGGATGCCAGTACGGGTTACTTTACTTATAAACATTATTTCTCCTTGTTGCTAAGTGCTGGCCGTAAATGTAAATGCCGTATAAACAACCTCAATGCCTATTCCGCAGTTAGAAAGTTACAATAATTAAAATAGCGAAAATCAATATATGTCTGATCACAGGTAAAATCGCAAATCAGCTCAGGAAACTTAAGCCCGCTAGATTGTATCGTTTGATAAACACACAACATAAATCCAACTTATGTTTATATTTGTGGCTTTGTTATATCAGGTTAATTGCTTTTTATCACCTTAGTGCCGATCTGTTTACAGTTATATAACACTGGCCAGGCGCTAAAGTGGTTAAGTTATTTCAAAAAAGCCTCGTTCGCCAGGTCTTCCTTCACGGCTATCGTGTTGCCTTTGTCGAACTCTTTCACTTTGGAACATTGTATCGATGCTCTACGTACCTCAGACACATAGTCCAAGTCTATTTAAGGTCGAACTTGCTTTTAAGTTCAATTTTGCAACTCTATAATTCTCACAGAATATATTTTACTTTATTGGTTGTTCAGAGCATACGACACCGCACAATCCCTAAGAAATATTTCAGTTCTCATAGGCTTTCAACGTATATTCGGGTTCGCCCATTCCACACGTTTACGTCACGTATAGTTTTATAATATTCTGACGTTGTTTGTGTACATGCATATATTATACGTTTCGATTTCGGTTATCGGACACAGACGATGTACACTGGATCCGGCAAAGTACTCCTAGTTATATGTTGCGTCCGCTCACTCGGTTATTATCGGTCGGACGAACGGATAGGCATTGCTCACATTATTTCTGTTGTGAAACGCGTGGAGTTGGTGATCAGTAAGCCGTTACAATGGCTGAAAGTTGTCCTTGGACCACGGTCGTTGCCTTCCGATGGGATTATTCCACTGCTCTTCTCTTGGAAATGTGTTCTAGTACGGCCTGATACACCGAAAGAATACGAATAGTTCATGTGTAGGCGAACGCTACGAAAGACCAATCGGTAAATGCTATCAGCTTACTAACATCTGTAACGTCAGTCTCTGTATGAGCAGCCGCGGAAAATGGCCTTCGTCGCTTTTGCCGGGATAGGATGGAGCCCAACAGGGTTTCTGTCGGAATCTTAGACAGTTGTCAGTTCGAAACAATCAGTACTGGGAAAAATGGCTGGACTAATACCGGGAAAAAGCAGCGGTAGGACAACGACAAAATTGGCTTTATCATACTAGTGATACTGACGGTAGTAGCGCACTTAAGCAGGATATTGTAACGTTTGTGTCTAACTGGGAAATACCCTAGACGCCACAAACGGTGACAAGCGTTTTACATCAGTAAAAAGAAATAACCGTCAGCCGATGAGTGAGCATCATAGGGACATGGCAATAAATGACGCCTGGATACAAACGCGTGTTATTGGCCTTAAGGCCATATTTTTCGAACAGTTCGATTTTAAAGTCTATTTTTGAAAAAAATATATATATTATTCGTTATCGATTTTTTCTTCTCAGCAATCTTCAATGTACGGTAATATACTGTATATTCAATGTTCGGAACTTATATTCAATTGTACAATAGTATAGCGTAGCCAATGGATATAACGAACATAACAGTCAACAATATCAACAATAGTATTAGGTCAGACAAATGCAGTCAATTGCAATGGTCACGGTTTTAATACCTCCCTCTATAAGAGGACAGAAGTTCGACGCCGGAGCTCTTGTTTGATAGGGACACATCAGCTTTTATAGTATGTATTTGCGCTTGTGCGTTAAATGTCTGTCCTTTTGGTGTCCTTAGCCCCTGTTCACCTATTTGCTCACAATGTACTGTTCCGTTATTAGGCCTTCAAAAAATATACTCACACCGAGGGACGTCAGGTTGATATTAGAAGAATATGCATAGCAATGCGTCCCCAAGAAAGACCTTTCCAAGAATCTACTAGTATCTATTTTTGATTGCCTCTGTTTTATCTTATTCGATAGATGATCAATGTGAAGAATTACGTATACGACCAATTGCGAGACGGCTGATATTGGTTACTTAGTCGCAACTTTACGAAAATGTTAGGGATTTAAATATCATAGCTCATACATTCAATGAGAGAGAAAGCTCTAAGTTGAACAAAATACGGTTTTCGATAGTAGTGCGGCAGTCTGTTATTATTACGTGTGAACGGCACGCCTTTCTACGAATACCGAAAAGTCCGTAACGGTACTCTTAAAATATATAAGATTAGAATATATCGTGTTTATTCGTTTCCAACCGTTGCGTCGAATAGCAATATACGGACATAGGATTGATCAGCAAGCTTAGAAAGGGGTATCTATGCTGACGAAAATACGGTCAAACACACTTTCGAGTTTTTTGATGGATTCCTAACCTAATTAGCGACTCGCCCGGGTAACGCAAATCAATTGTAGAATATTCTAAGCCATTTATCGACGTGGAGGCAGAGTAACTTCATTAAGTATAGATGACAGTTGTGAGCCTCGATTTTATAATCGAGTAATCATTAGTAGACGATTACATCTGTAAGTTAAGCAACTTGCATATATATAGCTAATACAGGCGAGTCCATTTTGCGAATCCAAGGCGAACCGATTTGAAGTTCTGACTGCGGAAGTTTTTTTTTTTATATATATACTTTTCTTTATCTATAGTTTCTTGGGGGTAAGTCGATAGTGGGATATGCTGTCCTACCCGTTGCCCTTTTTAGGGCACAGAAAGTACCCTACAAGGACTTAAATCGGAAAAATAAGTTCTTTGAAGCCAACATTGAATATTCCTTGTTCAATCCAGAAAGTAATTAAAGCGTAGCGATGAAGTCTGCCATTGTCATCAAGTAAGCAGACTTTTGATTACAGTATTAATGGCCCACGGGTCTCTTGAGAAACTTGAAATGCAGGTTTTCAACCAGTGCCTCATAATAGAAGATGTCCCTGGTGTCCATTTATAAGTACTACTATTACCTAGCATCCGAACATACCTGAAACTCGATTTCTGTTCAGATGATGGCAAGGTAGGTCGAACCATGCCTCTTCTGTCGCGGCAGTATGCAAGTTCTTTGTTGACTCAAGTTCTATGCGGAATCGCATGTGTAATACACCATACGCATTTCTAACTGATCGGGACTCAATTTTACGTAGTTTCCACATTTGTTTGGGTTATTATTCTGTAATAGGTTGCATGTGAAGCCCTTAAACTCGAAACGTCGTTTTCTTAAAAGGCCTCCCCGACCACCAATGCGTTCTCGTCCTTCAAGCCTCGACGTCTGATCGCCTCTGGGCTAGCCTTAATCTCCATTCTTGAAATGTTTACGCCACTCGCGTACCCTGTTTCTTGCTTAAGATCTCCTTACGTGACTTCTTCATCGGGACAATATCGTGGCCCCCGAGAAACAAAAACTTGATCATTAAGAACTGATTTTCGAGAAGAAAGAAAGAAAGAAAAAGATATTCTCTAGACCTTCTAGACTTTTCTAGTTCCTTGTAGACCTATTTCTTCTGGGGCACACTCAACGGGTTTCCGCCCACAAGATTGAAATATTTGCCAGCTAAGTTTCGTTCGCTAGCGGTAACAGCGTAGTTCAAAAGTTTTTCATAAAAAATCCGTCGAATTCGTTTGTGAGAGCCTACTATATGGAAGACGAACATGCTTAATTAGTTTAGATGCTAGGGAAAAACATTCTGATCGAGAGAGCGTGTATAATACTAGTTCCCTTACAATGTCATTGCGCAGTATCTTTATGGCTCTACTGATAACGAAGTTCTTCTAGCACAGGCAGAAATCACTCAATATCAGTATTCATGCAGTAAATGAATATTACCTATGGCATAATTTTGAATATATGGAACGGAGTGGGTGACGGTTTTTGGCCTGATCAAACGAAATCTGCTCGGCTGATTCGCGTAGAAACACATTGTCGCAACAACGGTGTTTTCGTATACTCACGCACTGTATTTGTATCGTGCATTTGTAGACTAATAGTTATCAGGTAATACGTGTCGTTAATAAACACCAACATACACACAATTAATTACTTTTAATAGAGAGCTCTTGTGAAGCTTTTTAGGTATTTTACAGGTCAGACTTATCCAGATCTCATCTTTCATAAAGATATTTATCGGGATGTCAGCTACAATCTACCCTTTCTTTTCTACAGTCAATAACAATTCATTACCATTCAGTTGTCCTTTATTCAACACTGCTTGACCTCGCCAATCTGTCCTATCTTTTACCATTCTTGCCCTACCAATTGTGGCTTACGATGTTGATAATACATTGGCCGTCAGCCATACCGTTGCCCCTTTCGGCAAACTTAATTGTACTTATTATATATTGTAGAACTAGTACGAAACTCGGGAACTGGATAAGCTACGGCATATGGTGCACGCTCTCGTACTGTGCTTTTCTAACTACTACGAGCGCTCCGTTAGGTCCGTCAACGTGTTCCCGTGAGAGCTGGGTGAGTTTTCCTACTTGTAGGTTCGAACCCGAGCAGAGACAGACTGCGTTTCGCGTTGGGAACCAGTCGACTGATGGAATGCCTAACGGCCATACCGGACGTGAAACTCGAAACATAGAGATATGTCAACTCAATGGCGCTCCGCTAATTGGTGCACTCATCGTGCAGGTTACTCGCACCACGCAGATTCAACATCCCGCTATGCGTTCGGAGGTACCGTGCTCATTCCTCGAAATGCCTTCGTGTAGCAAGGCCCCAATGCAAATAGCAGCTGTGTGGTAAGTCTTCTATCCTCTCATGCTTTATTGGCTGAACTATAACATCTTTGCGTTTCACCGGACTAGACTGATGGGGCTGAATCTGGCAGAACCGTGAAGACCAGTAGAGGCTCTCAGGCACCCCATCAGCCATTAGCTCCCTGTACGGACGACAGCTTGGCTTTCCGGATAGACGCCTCGTCGTTTACCCGCTTAGTGGTATTGTTGCCACCAGCTTAATCAGTGGCTTCGCTGAGCTCTACGCTGGCGATGTTGAGAGCGACACTGGCGGGAAACTGCTGTTTGTAGGCTGGTCAGACCAGCTATTCTACTGGCCAATGAAACTTGTGGCGTATAGCTTTACCAAGTCAATGCCGGCTGTCAATCCTACTACACTAGGAACATCAGGACCGGCAGTGTTAGTAATGGCTTGTCTTACGCTTATCAGATATCAGCGCTGTATGTTACAGTCCACTCCTTGGTGTCGGGGTCGCACAAACATACCGCATTCCCAAGCCCGATACTTGTTTTTCTACGTTGCCTGTTCTATCCGCTGTCCCGAACGGAAATTATCGACGGACAGCGAAACGATGGCCCTGCAACAATAAGTGGTACGAAATGAGGCACAGAGGTGGAGCAGGCGCGTCGCACAGGCGAACTCGCACTCGCTGGCAACGGCGAAGTCCAAATTGTAAAAACAAGAAATCAAAAAAGGAGCAGCATTTCGGGTGTGCGCCTTAGTAATACTAGAGACACCAGTAGACGGTCTCGAGGGAGATGTGGGCTTCGATAGAAATGAACAGAAAATAATGGAGATATGAAATCACAGCCCGCCGCAGCAGTAATGCTTAGTCAGTCTTCTACTACTAGCTTTATTAGATTCGCCAGTTGAAGCGGCGAAGATAATAACGCCAGCATTAGCTGCAGCCGACATCAGTGTCTATGGCCTGGACTACTCCAGTCGAAGAATAGATATACTAGGAAGGCTGGCAGCCCCTGCTAGTAGTAGTAGCACTATAACAAATGTTAAAATAGAAGTAGTAGAGGAATAGGAGAAATGATGGTGGCGGCAGAAGAATAAGCTAAGTACGTCTATGAGGGCAATAAGCAGTTGTTCCTCAGGCAGAGGCTGTGGTAGCATCAGTATCAGCAACGACAGGTCCACTAGCAACAAGAGATAACAAACTCGTGCTCAGATTCGTAGAGAAGGAATGTGGCCGTCGTGCTTCAGAGAGGCCATTGCAGACTCTGCCTTGGCTATTGAAATGACGAGTTTCTCGACCCGCTGATGGATCGCTGAGGTCTAAGGCCTACCATGCGTATATAAACGAAAATATCGGTTACACTCTCCAAGAGAGTGGGCAGCAAATGGCAGCTCGGTTCGAGCAAGCACCGCCGCTGCACAATACTGTGATCGAGCAAAAATGTCAAGAATACCGCCACATATTGCTCTTCGAAAACATCTTGCGTAAACAAATATGCCACGTTCCTAAAGATCTGCTGGAAGCAGATCAGACAAAGCTGGAGTGAACTGACGGGCCACTTAGATAGTCGAGTTGTTCACGGTTGTCAATATAGTAAGCGCAATTTTGTTATTTTCGGCCATGACCTGTGTTTTTCATTTTTTAGATAATGGTTACATAGTAGACCAATGTCGGTGCTATGACAGTACACATCGCAACATAATATATGCGTACCTACGCATTTGGCGATACCGCTGAGGGATTTAACTGTTTGTAAGAACGTTTCCCAGTTAGCCGGACGCGCTAGCAAGCAATTGCTACAGAAAATTAATGGATACAAATCAGGCTGAGCTGTTATCGGACGTAAAAGTCGCCGAGATGTAGCATAGATTTCCCCAGGTCAGCGTCAGTGAGAACTTAACGAACGTATATATATGTACCAACTGCTGTGGTCATGCTGTGACTTTCTTTTGTTACAACATCCTTCCAGTCAAGAAACCAACTAATTTTACGTATTATAGTATAATTCCCACTCGTCTCCATTATGCTAATCTTTAATACGTTTAGTATACAGAGAATATATTTTTTGCTTTTTTTTTTCATGAACATTACCGCTGAAAATCATTGTCCTTTAGAGAATCGAGAAAAAGGCCGTTCGTTACAAATTATATCCTATGTATTTGTACCGTTGACGGAACTTGAAGCACCAGTCTTCCTTTGCTAGTTTCCATTAATGAGAGGCCTTTAGAGCGTTTTTGGGTAAAATGCCATATGAGTGACTCGTTGATTTTTTGGAGAACTTAAACATTTTTCTTACAATATTAGCCTACATTCACAATTAGAGAGACCAGATAATTATTCATATAAGCCATTATCTACTCTCCTTGGTAAAAAAGCACCTACATATAACTTGTCCTAAGGCAACATTTTCAAGAATCTCTATTAATGTCATAGGCCATTTTTTCAAGCCTTTGAGTAAGCTAACGACCTAAGATGACTTATACTGTTCGGTTGAATTCTACAGGCCCAGATATGCCTTGCATATTTACGCTGGTCGACCATCATCGCCTATTTAGATCATCGAAATTCGTTGTCCTCCATAGTAGAAGTGTGGAAAATGAGAGAATCCCTCAAAAGCTAGAGGGGAAACAAACTTTAAAGTTATCGATAGTGAAGTGGCAAACCGTTTACAGAAGTCGGCTCAAATTCGAAAATTAAAAGTTTAAAACTCTTTCTATTTGAGACTACAGAAAAAGGACAGTATGACATTAGGCACCAGCTGTCAGCAGAAGACTGCGTTATTATGAGCATTACTCCCAATAAACTAAATACTTACGGACAAATTTCTCGCAAAACTTTTAACAATTATTGTCTGGACGTTTGAATTAAATGAGCGCCATCGTATCGTCGTTTCTGGAGACAGCTCCTAAATAGTTAGTAAAGTTTGACGATCTAACCAAAACCGTATGTACGAACGGAGTAATTTGTCGAGGTCAACTTCGAATGGACCCAACTTCTCTGAAATAGAAGCACAATTTATATATGCAGAAATATCAAGGTCAACCTTAAATTAAAGAAACCAAACTATATATATATATATATAACTTACAACTTTGATCACGCGTTTTGAAGGCTGCACTTGTTTCAAAAAAAAAAAATCTATCTCTATCCACGTCGTTGTCGCCCATAATTTGCTACGTCTCAAGTTTGTTGAACAGTTATCACGAGACTCGGCGGCTGCACGAAACCATATCTAGGTATAGTATATTTATTAGAGTACGGAAGCAGCCATACCTATTTTTATTTATTTCTGTGGGGGCAAGTGTTACATCCGCTAAACTGACACACTGTGATTTATGGGCGCCGCTACGATTCCCTGAGATAATCTCAAGCACCTTGCTATTATTGTCATACGCCCACATGCGTAAATGTACTTGAACTCGGTTTGGTAACATAGGATCGTACGACGTTTGACGTCACAGGTAAAAAAGAATAGCGTGAGACGTTAATGTTTAGCCGCAAGAAGGTTTTAGTGGGAAACTATCACCAAGTCTCACGGTTACTTCGCGAGGTTAGTGAAGAATAATAGAAAAATAGGTAGCAACAAAAGCGTTTGAGTCCAATTCTACTGATTTGATTGAATGCTACTAATCTACTAGCTGATTGGGTCAATATATGGCTGCAGCATAACTGCATTAGTAAAGCTAGTCGCCTTTGTTCAATATAGAGAAATCTTAACGACTAGTAAATATAAAATTTTCTTACGATCATTTTATATGTGTTCCAATTTTTGTGAATGTTTTGCCGCGCAGGCAAATACCTATAAAGTTTCAATTTCAAGTTTTCTACCATGCTTTTATGACCCCAGTTAGTATATCATCGAAACAGCGTCAGCGGAACGATTCAGTGCTATTAATTTCTATAGACTTAACGAATGCAACTTCGCGAAAAGTAAGAGAGGTATCACTAGATCGACCAAACGTATTTACCTCTATACGTCTATGGCTGATGATGGCAATGCCCCATCGGAACCGAGCGGGGCAAAGCAGCAATACAAAAGGGAACACTTCAGTGCACCGACGCCACCCATTCAGTCGGTATATCTCCGTCATTTGTTTAATCTTTTGCTACGGTCGCAATATTCAAACAAAAATGGTGAAAGACGCCAACGAGCAGTTGAGCTAATCAGCCTTTTACTCGTTAGAATACGATCTAGATGAATTTTTATTGCAGGCTTCGAGTAGTCCTAACAGTGGTATTCTGGTTGATGGCCACAAGCTGCCAAGGGCGTGTCTATAGAAATTCTAGTACCATAATGGAAATACAACCATTTTTGCCACTAAGAAAGTGTTAGGGTAAAGCACACAGTGAAAAAAAAACTGACAATGATCTTATCTACGTAAAAAGTGAGCGCCTATCGGCTCAGTAACCCAGCCACAATTGGCGTATCAGTCGTACTTAGAACTAACAAGCGTATCTATTTTCTAATTTTTATTTTTACGTCCGCTTTTTCCCAACGGTAAACGGTTCTATATCACTTATAGGAACTATCAAGGCTAAAGAAGTTAGGAAACCGTCAAAGATAATAAGTAAACATGGCTCACCGAATGCAAACATCCGCTCCAGCTTGCGCGAATTTCTATAGACCGTTCTCCCGACCGGTTATATCCATTTCATTAGCGTCTCGACTAATGAAGAATATGTTCAATCTCATCAAAATCAGGACGAGAAACTATTCCCTTTTAGCTGACGAACTCTTCGGCCCTTGAACGTGTCGCCTTCGTCCGTTCTACTTCAAAATATGTATATCGTAAAAACACTACAAGAAAATTGTTGATTCTTCTCCGATTGATTGTTCGCGTTTAGGCCATGAAGTCGATTTTGACCGTTATTTTGACAACTCTCCGTGACGTAGGCATATCGAGGCATGGTGCGGCCAACCAATGCACCCGGTTACGAAACAGGCGTATGTATTGAACCTCGTTCATTACGATTTCACACTGGTTAAAATCAAACAGTAGGTACTTAATTTAGCGAGCCTCTTTTTGACATTTTCATATTGACTAACAATAATATTTGAGGATGCACGCCGTATCATATATAATACTTAATTAGAATAGAAACTTTTCTAGTTGCTGATCCGAGTTACCAACTTGACCTTGGAAAGGCCAGCGTACGACTTGTCCTGTATGGTTATATTCAGTTAGCACCATGAGCAGAAACGTATTCCTCTTTGTCTTTTGAAAGCGCGCGGCATTAAACGAAGGTGATGTGTTAGCGAATATAGAATGGACAGATCGATGGCGATTACCTGTCCAGGCGGACTCTCTGTTTCGCGTGACTCTAGCAGCTGACCACTTCGTGTTTAGATCTTCTTTGAGCAAACCATCTTTGAGATAAGATCGAATAAAATAGAAATTTAGCAATACAGAAATCAAACATACGATTAATAATGCGGGCTCGAATTCTAGTCTCTCCATCATACGGTTTTTGTTTGTCGATATAGAATGTAACAAATACGTTTAAAATAAAACGTGTTTCCCGCGCGCATCAACGCTTACGCTGAATTCATGCTTAGTATCCACTTTTGCCATTGTCGACACTACTCTATAAACAAACCTGGCTTTTTCATCTACGGCGGTTCTTCTTTCATTTTTTTTTGTGTAGGACAACATGCACCAGCGAGTGAGGTTGCAAAATATTAAGAGGCGCTTTCGCTGTGGTTCGATTCGACTTTGCCTGGGTCCAAGGCTGATCAGTCTTTTTTCTTCGTTTTCGAGTATCTCGAATTAGTGCGCCATTCAATCGTACTGAGATTGTAAAGAATGTTGACTTGGAGCTATACACAGGAAGCGCTGAGGGCCAATGCTCTGCTTCAATTCAATTTCGGAAATGTATCAAGCCAGAGGCAATTTTTTTCAGCTCTTGCGGGAACTGGGTCAATAACGCCAAGTTCCCTCTCACACTATCTCTCACTAAGTGTAGCCTACTGGATAGGGAGCACAAAAGACTGATGGTGGTGCTTCAGAAGTCGGTATACGAGTGGTTACTGCTCACCTACTGCCATTACTACTATAGTACTGGTCCGGCGGTGGCGCAATGAACGAGAGAGAGAGAGAGTTATGGGTCGATCAACCATCAGACCAATTGGCAAAATCTATTGGCCGTCCGACGGTTCGTCCAGCGTCGCCCTTCACTTACTTGAAACGGCTACTTAAAAACGAAGCCAGGGGAAAGGGCAGACGAAAGAAAAGGACGAGGTGGGCATCAAATATTGGATTTTGCTCTTCCTGCAGGATTCAAAACTCTTAAACAGGAAAACTTAAACGGGAAATTCCTCTGGATGACGAGCAAGGCAAGGAGCGCTAGTAGGAGATTTAATGGTCCGCTCTCAAGGGAGAACCGGCTGGTCCGGAGAGTGTATGAAGTGCATGAACCCTTAGAATAAACTGAGGAAAAGCTAACGTGGATCGTGCATTTGGAGGGATAGTGGGCTGCTCAGTCGACCGTGACTCTGCGAAATTGTTTAGCGGCTCGTCTATCTCCGTCGAGCGATAGCGATAGAAGCGACAGTCCCGTTGCCGTTGTCGCCTTCGTCTCTTGCAAAACCTGTGAGTCCCACCTACCTGACGACCCAGACCGCCTCTCGCGTATTCTAACTCCTTTTGGCTTTAATCCATATTGACTAAGAAAAATAGCTGCTACTGCTATAATAGTAATTACACAACTAACACTAATCTGGCCTATTGAGGTGAATAAGTTAGCGAATAGGATATGCAGGAGGCCGCAAGCCACACTATAGTGCTTATAGTGTAGAAAACTGTCCTTCGTACTAAAGAGTATGATGTATAAGTTATTCGCACTTAGCAACAAATGGCGGACCCGTACATCGCATGGAATCGTTGACTATCGCAAAAAAACAAAGGGAGCGCATAACGGTTTGGGAGTATCTACTTTGTAAGGCTTGATATCTATCACTCGTTGTAGGAACTCGGAAGAGGTAGGCTTGCTATGATTACGATAAGGTCGGACAACCTTTTTTTTTTCTAAAGAACTGAACCGACTGATACGTCATTGAGCTAACTTTATTATTGCCGACTGCACATAACCAACGGGGAAATTATTAAGACGAATTACACCAGCGATTACGAAGCTCCCCAAGCCCATACGACTGGTCAACTAATTCTATCGTGAACGACAAAAGAAAAGATCATCCATCGTGAGCTGGACGGAGCAGCGCAACAGTCAAAAATGAACAGGGCAAATCTTTATCTAAGCGCATGTCCGGGCACTGATTATTATAGAAACATATAGGAACATGGCGCTATACTTTATACAGCGCCAACGTCAGCATAACGACACTGTTATAGCTGAGTATAGTGCGGGTGAAAGGTGAATGAGCATCACAAACATACGTTATGAATTTCAATACGCAATGAAGTTGTTTGAACATCTGAAAAAGGTACATAGTTGTCGGGTAGGTCTACAGCTCGTAGCGGAAGATGCACCTAGGATTCTGTATATAGAATAAAAGGTCTAAGGTGAGTTTCGTTTCTCTCTCCTATGATTATAAACGATGGAGAGCTAGCGGACTGTGGGGCGATAGGCAGAGCTGCGTGTGCAGGTTTCGATGATGAAACTCTGCAGAAAAAAAAAAAAAAACAGATTACGTCTGTTTTTTGCGCTGTGGCATGATATCAACTATAGCGCATTTTTAGCCGAATAGCTACGCGATGCTACCATCTGTGTTTGAGAGGATCCGAAAATGGATGTCAGGTAACCGTCTTACTGTACGAGGTGACTTGTGGAGAATAGGACCCACCGGATTCTAATTTTTTTTTTTTTTTAGGCTATACCACCCAATGGCGACCCCTGTTGTGAGAGCTTGCAGACTTCGCAAGTAGTCCCACTGTATTTGTGACGTGATTGGTTATCTTGAGATGCAGCTATCACATCTGCGCAAGGCTTCTGTTGGAAATCACGGGGAACAGATCAAGTTATGCAAGTGGTTCTTCGAAGAACATTTGGCGCACGTTGTTCATTAGTGCAGATTAAGTTTCCTGGGTTGGATCAACATAGAAGTAAAAGCGCGCATATAAACCTGCTTTTATTCTGCATATGCTAAAATCAGTTACGCTGGCTTACTCTATATATATGCTTCTCTATTCGAATGTATTATTGCTAGGTGTGCGCAAACTCGCATTTGCGACTCTAACTTGTTATGGAGTATATGAATAGGAGGTTTTAAATGTGTTCTCTGCAGTGGGAATCACTGCTGCCATTGGGTTAGTACCGAGCAATAGCACGTCAACCACTACAAAAACAAAAAACACATAGTCTAAAAATGTATCTGTCACGTGCGTGAGTAATACTTGAGGATTTGACAAAAAAAAAAAAAAAAAAAAAAAGTTGTAGCATAGGGGCGAACGGTGCCAACAGAAAAACATTTGAGTATCTAAGTTTCGACGTTAATTGAAATAACGACACAATGGTTACTTAGCTACCAGCTATTGTACAGCACACACCACGAATTCGTATCGGCAGTTGGCAGCTGTTTCCCACACATTCTAAGATACTCAGTCTAGGGGAATCCTTAGAAGTTTCTGCCGGAGCCGAATCGTCGTTAAAGATAGCTGATATCTTCAATAAAGCGACTAAGAATTACGCGTTGATGACTGCCAAGCGATTCCCTGGGAATAGATGGCACGGATTTTTCATTTATCCACTTGAAAGTGTCACCAATTTAGGCTTGCGCCAAAAACTTATGACATCAAGCTGCACTGGCGGGTAAGTTCTCAGTAGCTACATTGGTAATATTTCAATGTGATTCCTTTTTGAGTTGTTGTGTACGATGAACAACAACAACAACAACAAAATTGTAGAAAAACCAAAAAAATATGTATGTCTGTGATAGAAGTGTTTAAGATAATCGTTAGTACGGATGTGCATTTGCTCTTCGGATGGCTAGTTGTTGTTAGCGCCAAAACCGTGAAATAACTGTGACGCGTTGTCTTATCCCTTTTTCACTATTATTACTCATACAGGTTTATTCATAGATATATAAATGTCTTGCAGATAATCGTCATAAAAGATGTACTCCGGCCTAAAATAATAATAATAATAATAATGGGTCATAAATTGCGCGCCGTCCATGTGGATCTATGGATAAATAGCAGCTTTACGGGTTGCAATATACCTGTACGCAATATTTACTATCGTATCATAGTTATTGTACTGTAATGGTAAATAATAATGATCACTTTTTAACGTCAACTTATGAACTACTATGCTATCATCGATGCTTCCAGTGGACGTCTGGAACCGTCCACGTCTAGCGGAGATGACTAGTTCAGGATACATCTGTATCTGACCCAACGTCGTTATGATTGGAATAAGCGTACGCCTCAATAGGATGTTAGATGTCGTCTGCTATACCGGAACTACCTTTAGCTACGCTAGAATCGTCGATGAATAATGGGTAAATTTGTGATTCTGCTTGATACACCTCCAATTCGTTGCATAAACCCAGAATCATTTCGCCAAATTTTGGCAGCTTCACTCGTATCTTCTGAACCGAGATACGAGCACTCTATTAAGCCATTGTTTCTCTACCTAAAATTATGATAAAAAGCTACGTTGATGTTTCTTCCAATCAGTGTTATCTCTTTCATTAAAACAAGACACTGGCTAACGTAAATCAGTTGTTCCAGCCTTTTACAAAGCTTCCTTGTGCAACTAAGCCCTTATCTTCTGTTATCATATTTTTCACCGTAATACGTAATAATAGTCAAACTTAGGTCAGATAATTAGGGTTAAAGTAAATTGCATACGTATCAAATCTTGTATATATTAAAACCAGACTCGCTGGATCGCACATAGTGTGCCAACATTTTCTGGGAGGTGTATTTTTATTAATCCGCAAGTATATTTAGGTGCGAGAACTCGATCGATGGCGCTAACCAATAGCCCGATAGATGGCTTTTTACCCTTGTTTTGTCGTTAGCTGCTATTGCACAACATTAGATAATAACATCGTGCTTGTGGTTGCCTGGCCACATAGCATTTGTATTCAGATCCGCCTGTAGTGATCATTCAGAGAGTAGTACGTGACGGTAACCGTACGCGGAAAAATCCAGCACAACGTCCCCCACAAAAACACCGGAGTGGCACGGAGATCGCTGTAATTTTTCATGATCTAGCAAAATGTATGATAAAATCTGTATGTATTTGCTTATATCTAGATTTAGAATAATTCATAAATTTCAATAAACTCGTTCATTTAATGTCCATTTGGCACTAAAGTCTAAAATACTAGAAAATATATAGGATGCCTGGAGTGGTTGTTCAAGCTAATGTAGTACTGTAAATATAAATAAATAATTATAATTTTCTTTATTTAGATAGCACATAGACGGCAGACCACTCGATACTATGATCCGCAATAGCGGTTCGGTGCCGCACATTGCTAAAAATGAAAAACCTTTAAAAAAAGGTGAGTAGCCTATTCACGGGTAGCAAGATTGTTCAACACAATCTTGGCAAATGCCAAAGGACACTTTCTTGGCGCACCTGAAACGTATGTTTTCATTATAAACTACTGTTACATACATATTACTATTTGGTTATATATTTCGTGGATTTGGACGAAAGCTGATTTTTTTTTAAAGAGATCTACCCGTATTGCAGAAATATTTCGTGACTAGATATACCTTCGTTGGCAAGCATGGCCATTGTTCCTTGATGATGATGATGATGATGATGGCAAATTTTAATTATCTTCTACCAGATAGCTGGAGAAGATTTGTAACTAAGATCTACTATGACAAAGATGATTATTCCATTATTGAACACTATCTACAACGGCTTCTTTTGCATCCCGCCTATATAGGGAATGACAAGGGCAGCCACAATAAAAGCTGGTCGACATAATATCATCCAGCTAGCCCCCCCTCATTTCCTTAGTGGAACGACGCAAAACATGTGCATAGCGCAGATATGTGTACGTGCCTACAGGAAGCAACTGCTCATATGGGGAACAGTCAATAACTTAGCTGAAGTAACATTAACATCGTTCTGAATGTCTTCTCTCACTGTGTCTTGCAGACGCGTAAAAATCGAATTTCTTGTTTTGCCTGTTATAAATAAATCATGAATTCCTCCCTTTTCGTTTTTCTTCGTTCGTTCCTTTTTTGCGAAGACTGCAGGGACTCTTCCTCCATTTTCCATGCTGCGCTACCTAGAACCGTGTCTACTGCGGTCAGCGCGCATTACGTTTTCTTTGGTCGAGATTATGGAGACTGCGGAATAACTTGTAAAGACGTTCGACTTATCTTGAATTGACGTCTGTTAAATTGTGTGAAAAAAGAAACTCTGATAAACTGACAATGCGAGCTATACATTTACTATGTCCGTGGACGCACAGACGTCCACATCTACATGACAATAGCGCACAAGAAAAATGCCCGCACGTCATCGAAAGACTGTGCGACACATGGGGCAACTCAAGAATGACAAAGTGAAAGTAGAAAAACGAGGTTTTTTACTATGGGGAATAGCCGTCACAAGCACACCTGCCAGAGTAACTTCAGAACGTGACTAACCATATTTTCATTGTGTCTGTGCGTGCGTTTTTCTCCGTCACTGTCTTTGCTGCTATACGTATTGTGTAATCTTTCAGGGTCATGTTTGCCTTCTGTCACATGTGTGGAATGAGCTCGGCCTGTACTAACCCATTTCTATATGGCTGGCTAAACGACAACTTTCGCAAGGAATTCCAAGAGATTCTCTCCGGGTGCTTCCCACAGTTCGTTGCAAGATTTACCTCTCGCCAGGATACGATCAACGAGTCTCGACTACCTTCGATGCATCCCGCTGTTAGAACAATTGCTGGAAACGAAATGATACAGCTTCGTGCTTATGAAAGTCCTCCGTCATAGATATACATTAATAATCTAAATGTTGTTTAAATTAAAGGGGAGTGAGAAGAAAGCAGGCACAGTAGTACGTTAGATTTCCTACCAATTCCATTTCTACTATTGCTATGAAGAGGTATAGAAAAAAAAAAAAAAAAAAAAAAAAGTGTTCGTTTAACTACTAATGGCAGTAGACAACAATACCGCTAATGCCAGGTAATGTTCGGCATACATCTGTACGTGTATACCATTTCAATAAATGAAATGCACACATTTTCCGGCCGGGATCGTAGAGTTTACGGACTCGCGAGTCAGGTACAACAGCTGTAGGCCTTTACAATCTGGTTTTAAATCACCTTAGATTCAATAGGGCGAGGAAAGATTGATTTCGGTATCGGCATACCAGGTAGCAAGCAAGAAGGGAGGGCTTTTCGTGAAGATTTGTTGATTAATTGTTTGAAAGATGCTAAAAGTAACACAATATCATATCGTTTTTCGAAGATAGCGAACCAGATTTGAAAAGTAGTCAGGGCTAGTGAAATTTCTACGACTGCTAGCTGCGTTTATCGTACAGATCTTTCTACGAAAAGACAAAAGTAAAACCAGCAAATAGCATGTAAAGTGAACAGCCTATACTCGCATATAAATGCTGCTTCACCTAATATCATTGTAACCATTCTCTCAAGGACATATATAATATGACCTTTTTACAAGGTCGTGAAATTTGTTCCTTGTAAAAAATCATACGAGAACAATTTATCATCTCAACTAGATGAGTGTAGTTCAGTTGGTAATTGAGACTGTGCAAGCTGGCTCTGTAGGAACAGTTTTAGTTATTTTCAAGATACCCGCTTCTATCTGTTTTTGATTGAATCTTGTATGTGCGCACGTGTGTGTATTGCAAGGCAAAACACAACGGTCAGCGTCTTCATTTGACCTCTTGGTAGGTATGTATGTATGTGTCAAAAATTATGTAGAGGGAAGTAGCGATTCGTCAGTGTTAGCATATCCGGTGCGTTGTCGTCACTTACCTTCGGCTCAAGTACCACCAGTTTTACATAGCACACTTGTGTGTGTGTGTTAGTTTAGGTATCTTGCAGTTTCTGTATGATTCTCATAGTGCCGATGTAAATATAAGAATTCGAAATAGTGTTTGTTAGAGAGACAATCCTGTCCTATTCGAAAGGTGCTTATCAGCTGGAAGTATACCACTATACAGGTATAGGCATAACTATTTAGTGGCGATTGAATAGTAACATTTATTATACCTAGGTAGATGTACAATAACTGAAACATTTTTCCCTGATGAAAATGCCACCACCAGATATCCACCAGATATTAGTTAAACGAACCTAAAAACACACATTTTAAGCAGCTAGCTTAGGTTTCTAGAAGCCTACTTCGGCTCTCTTCCATTACATCCTGACCCTCCCGCCGCTATTTCAGGTCCATGGATTCGTTTTCCAAGCAGCAGTAATATGGACACAGGGCCATGTGGCCGTAGGGCCCCCTACAGTTAGCCCTGTGCTGGTGCGGACCGTGGCCAAATAATGACCGCAATATAGCAGAATACGTTTTGTTTTATCCGAGCACGTTTTCATATAGCTTAATCTATGTAACTGATAGGTAAAACCGATGATTTAAATAACATTAAAAAACAACGTTTATGTAGATTTATGACGACACATGTTTGATTGATAGTGCGTAATTGTGTATTGCAATTCTTGTGATGACAATTCAATTATTATTATTACTAATGTTGAATATGGCATACGAAAAAATCGAGTGATCGTATAGCTGTGATTATTTAGTACGCCCGAACTCACTCGCTACGGAAAAAATTCAGTCAGCGCCGTTTTACGAACAGAAATCTTATTATATACCTATAGAGATGTTTCGGACGGTCCATGTACGGTTCTGTAATACTATTAATTGGACAGCATTAAATCTCGTGTAAGCTCTTGAATAAAAATGTGTTCATGTTACACAGCAGTGGCGAAAACACCGAATAGCCTTTTTCTTTTTACCTTTTTATAGTCTCCGGATAGATGGTAAGCGTCACTGAGAGGGAATTTTGCCATATGCCAATGTTACGGTAGGAATCGGCGGGTTATGGCGAGCAGACCAGGAATTCACTTGTTGCTGGCCAATATAAGATCCTACAGTGAAGCCGACAGCTAGGCATCTTGACCTGAACCCGTCTATACTGTAGGCCTTTAATAAACCGCTGTTCGTCGTTCGAATATTTAGACCTGAAGACTCACTTAGAACAACTCATGAGTCGATACGACTAGCTCGAAGTGACAAAGGCTTCGATTTTTTTGGATGATTATTAATATTACGCCATCAGTAGAAACAAGAAAAGATTTTTTTCGTTTTTGGCTCCGTGTCATTTGTCTACGTGTAGTTTTCTTTCTACATTAAAGAGGAAGATTCCCGGCCAGATCTATATGATTCAATTAGCAAACAATGACGTTTCTTCGTCGATTTTATCATTCGCCTAAAAAATGCATTCTTCATTGCTAAGTCTCTTATTCAAAATGGATAACCATCAACGAACTATACAATGTTGATTTTTTTCTAAGTGCAGAAAAAGGCGATTCCTCTCTATTCTGGAAAATTCTTCACCATCAGACTCCTAAACGAATTGAAGCCAGATCTCTGAACCGCTAACAGAATTTCGGGGGAGCTAAATCGGATTACTGTTCAGAAACTAAACTTCACAATACTTTTGTTTATTCCATAAAATATACAACTCGATATAATAAAGACACTATTGTTTTGTCTCTCCAGCAGCTTCTGTCTTGAGTTATGCCTCGATACTAATATAAATATACACGTATATATATATATATATAACAGGTGAAGCACAGGTTTGTTTGTAGCGGTTTGTTGTTTTTAAATGTAAGCGCAGTCCAAACATCGTTGTTATCTTAACCGAGTGTCGAAGACTTTATTACCAACTCCTATTCCAGTCACGATCTTTTTTTGAGCAGAATAACCCATTAGAGTGTCGTTCAGGGTCACAAACTTCTGCAGTTCGTTGCGTTATGTTCATAATTTTTCCGAGTTCAAATAGAAATAGTAGCACTTCGTAAATGATGAAGCTCATTGGACTGTTCGGAAATTGTTTTTATCAGCACAATACAGTTAAACGTTCCGAGTACACGTCGGCATAGAAAATAGGTGAAACTGTACTGAAGAAAAAAGCCGACGGGCTTTGCGGTGTCTTCATTTATGTACGCCTCGAAGGATACGGTGATGGTACCTCTACTAAGCAAGTACTCATTTTGTATTATAGGTGCCTATCGAGATCGAAAGCAAAGGTTGCGGCTTCAATTGAACCGTGGACGGAAGACAAAAGATCAACACTGGGAAACTTAAAGCGCTAGTGCTAACACGCTTGTTCCCGTCTGTTTGTATTTTATAAGATTAATTTTTATAAGGTAGAATAAAGAAAAGTGGGTGTTATTTAGCAGGCGGTTGGTTCAATGAGCGACGCGTGCATGTTTACATAAATATTCATATTCTTTAGAAAGCGCAACGTTTTTTGCAGTGTAAGCATCAGTTCAAGACGACACGAAGGAATGGGTGGACGTCTCTCTTGAAGCGACGATTAGTCGCGCGCGAATTCGGTACGACGGTACTTCACGCGTGTTTGACTTCCAGCCGAGTATATTTCGAACTGTTGAAGTTATTACGAAGTATGTACTGTTCCTCAGTGAATAGGATTGATGTCGCACACGCACGCACGCACGCACGCACGACCATTTGAATAGAATGTTGCATTTTTTCGAAAAGAAACAATCTGGCTGAATAGATAACTACTATTAATCATCCTTCTGATCTGTTGTTTCTATAGCGAGCGTTACCGCTACTTGCTGCCCCGCAGTATAGGACGCTTTGTGTAATCTTCAGCTCAAACATATGTCGTCTAGGGTTCGGTTGATTTACTAACAAATATTTCATCGACCGTTACTAGTCGTACCTGACTGGCTGTCACTGTTTCTGACAATGCAAGCACGTATAGATTTGCTGCCCGATGCTATTAGGGCGTCTGGAAGCACCGGATCATAGTTTGTCTCCCTCGGACATCATGCACAATGAGCATCTTCAAGTTAAAACGACCATGATAATAGTGTCTGTGGCAGTTTCGTATGCGTGTGATCTGCGCAAGAGGAGCAGAGCGTCCGGCCATTGTCCTGCCTGATATCCTCTGTTTCCTTGCAAACAGAACATCGCCCCAAAATGCTTAACGCTGGTGGCTATTAGAGGCAGTGGTAATACAGGCGCGGATGCTAAACTTTCGCAATGCGTTCGACATGGGAAAATGGCGACGGGACAGGAAAATGCCGGAAACGCATTTATTTCTCCATTTAGTCAACCTATGCATTAAAGGCTTTGTTTATTTTTTCAATCAACTAGATTTGCAGCGGAGCCTTTATGCCTGACGTAACATACTAGCTAACGAGGTCATTGAAGGCAGTATCATAATAAAGTTCTCAAAAAGATTTGAATTAGCGTTAGAACTGCCTAGATAATGTTAGTTCAAGAAATTTGCGAACAACACACGCCGTAAATTAATATCATCCGAAACCGTTTTTACAGAATTCTATCTGCTGTTAGCAACATTATAGATAGTAAAATCGATTTCATTTCAACACGAAGATCATTAAGCGCTACATGGACTTTCTAGGACCATTTCTATTGACGTCCTTACCTGTAGCGCCCATCTGTACTTCGAGTTTAGTTACGCGAATAGATGGCGTAGGAATATTAATTACACTAGATTGCTCTGCATATATGAACCTTTTATTTTTCTCCAAATTCTAGCCACAACTTTTTTTTGAATCACTAACTTCCTTGGCCACTTGTAATACCGCAAGCGAATAATTTAAAACATACTTTCATATCCTTCATCTAATCAACGATCTCTTCATGAAGTTTCTTGCCACTTGAATGAAAACCTTACACGTTCGAGCAGAGTTATTCAAAAAAAATTAATTTTGGCTCTATATTTTCTAGCATACAGCATCGTGTTCGTAACTTTTAGTGGCAACAAAACATTATTCTTTTTCTAATACCTCTTATTTATGATACACTCCTGGTATCACCAGAGACAGACAATGCCACTTACAATCTACCCCACCAGCTGGCGCAAGACAAGATAAGAATTCACGTCGCGACCTCA